ATTTGAACACCATACAGAACTTGTGACAGTATTTATAGTTTTATTTAATCTAATAGAGTATTTCATATTGGACTGATGTAAATAGAGCACAATAAACTAGTATCTATTGGTTTCATTCAGATCACCATTTGCAGGTCTATTGCAACAATAATACTTACTTTGATGATTAATTGTGATCCAAAATCTAAAAACAATAGATATTATATATAAAATATATATTTATGTTTGTATTATCTTTAAGATCCCTTAACAATTCTGGTTTACGAAATTGCAACTGAACATTAATTCACTCTTAAATTCAAAGAATTTATATTGTGAGATGAGTAAGTGTATATTAGCAATAATTTCTTTGATTAATTGTTATCAGAAACAAATAAAAATATTATTTACTGTTGAATTAAATTTACTTATTCACTGATAATTGATTTTGTGATTACAAACATACGATAAAGCCATATAATAAAAAAAAAAGATATAAGCAGTAACTCAGAAATGTTCAAATGTCAAATTTAAAGAGGATAATGAGTAATGTTTTCCAGAGTTATGAATTAATTCCTAATTATTTGCTAAATTCAAGTATAGTTCTTTATATAGGTAAACTTAAAAATCTTCTCTTTGCGAGATCAGGATTCTAGGCTTTTACTTTTGATAATTAAACATAATTTTGGTTGAATAAATTCGTAACTCTGATAAACATAATTTTGCCAATAAATGTAAGTTACATGACACTTTCGTAAGGTATGTAAGTGTTATTCGTATAAACTCAAAATAACAATTTTTGGGCTAAATTTTATACTACGCTATGATTTGGTTTTAATTGGGCATTTGTTTAGCCATTGTGACTGGGTCAAGTTGATGTTAATGCTGGTAGAAATTGTCATATGATTTGGCCAACTTTAATATCTATTTTATTCAATTTATGTAACACAACCCAAATTTTTTTTTTTTAATTAACAAAATACAAAAAAAAAGTAAAGATAAATTATACGCATGCTGCTTTAATAAGTTTCAGATGAATTAGAAATTTGTTGTAGCGAGATTACATTTTTTGTATTTTTTGTTACCTTGTGATTCTTATACGTTATACATATTGATAACTGAAAATTTCGATCTATTATGAAACTTAATGCAAAATTACGTAAATTACAGTATTTGACATCCCTAACCTTAAAAACTACTATACTCGGAGTTTTAATGATTATACCTGGAATTTTTATGAACCTCCAGCTTACTATTTTTAAAACCTATTTTACATTCTCTGCCATTTCTGGAAATGAAATAAAGTAATATGTAGATTACAAACTTTACAATGCTGATAAAATTTAAATAGATTCATTCAATTTTAATATGGTACTTAATTGCAATGAATATTAATCATCAATGTGCGTTGTACAAAATTTGCTATTTAAATATGAATTATTTCAATTACAATAGAATAGATTGATTCGATTGTGTATTAATAATTTAATTAAAACTTTAGTTTTAAATTCAAAAAGAAATAATTCGTTTATTCATTATGAAATAAATCTCAAAAAGCTTCTTATTACATTTGGAGTTAGTGCGAATATTAAATATAAATATGTATTATTATTAGCTTATTGATGAACTCTGCATACTAATATTTCTTTGATGCTAACAAATTTATTGGCGTAGCATTTATTACACATATATAGTCATACGTATAATCAAAGATATTGCTATTTCTACTTCTATGCTCGTGATTTTCATTGTTTTGGTATATATTTTTGTTTGAAAACTTTTAAACTTTTATTTTGTATTGTTGAAAGAAGAACTTGCATATTGTTATGCTCATATAAATAAAAGATGTTATGTTTAAAATTAATGGTCGAATTGATTTCAAAAGTGAAATGCCAACAGGAAAAATAAGAACATATTGTTTGGCACTATTGATCTTACAACTTTTTATTCTTACATTCCTTTGCCCAGCTCTTGGTAATATAGACCTTATTATTATATTTTTATATTTAAGCAAACTTGACGTTTTTAAGTTCCTTTTGTAATACAGCACTAGCAAAAGTTCTCACGTTTGATCAAACTAACGGAGAACTTAACTATAATAACGGGGTTGAATATTTGTAAGAACGAACTAATTTTTTAACAAAAATACTAAAGCAACAAATTTCTTTTTAATAATATAATTAATAGTATGTTATTTTTATAATGGGGTATAAATGTTTTAGATATATAGCCCTTACTTGGTTAACAGCTAGTAATAACTTCATTATTTTATTTGAATTTTGAGTAAATGACTTCATACAGTACTATTAATGCCTCAAAAAATATGACATATTTTTTAGCAATTAGTTTTTTTGCAATGTGTTGTTATTGTTTTTTTAATATGAAAGACTTTAGGTACTATATCTACTTTCAATAAATTCTTTAATTGATTTTGTATTTTCTTGAGAAGTAATAGATATTAAAAATTAATAGCACATTTTGTTTTAGAGCTTTAATAATTATTACATCAGTAGCTTGGTTTGTTCTACCAAGTAAGTTTTTAAAACTTTAAAGTAACTAATTACAGTATTAATATCTAACTTGTAACATTTTTTAACCTAGTTGTTTACACCATCTTCACTATATATGAAATTGATCTGGTCCTATTTGATTGTCAGTATGAATTTAAATTTGCAAAAAGTAAAAATGCATGTAGGATTCGAGCAGCAAACTTTATTTTTATGTAGTTATATTTAGCTGATGCGATAGCTAGCCTTATAATCATGCTTACTTTGATGTTTGAAGACAATACTGAAATTAATGAGATAATATAAAATAAAGCATCATAATTATATATAATTTTAAACATTATAATAAAGTTTATACTGCTCTTAAGCTATTTTTAAGCTTAAATTATTTTTGGCTATCTGACACAATTATATAACTATAAGAAAATGTCTTATTCTAAAATAGTTACCTAAGTATAAAAAAGAGATTAAAATATTGATGGTTTTGCAATCTGGTTATGAGTAAATTTAAATAATGTATGTAAATTTTTTAGGAATATTAATTCTAAAAGCTCGCTTATACTTTTAGAAATCGTTATTCCATATAATGCGCAGATAGTTTCTAAGAGCATTCAATTTGATGAATTTGGAAAACAAAAGCAAAAATTTAAGTAGCTATAATACTTCAGTAGATATATTATTTTAGAATTGAAGTTTCATATGTATAAAACTATTAAAACTTAAATTTAAAGTAACCCATAGACTATTTATGTTATATATAATTTACAGTTTGTATCTTTACATTACAGAACTCTTTTTGAACTATAAATCAATTATGAGGAACTTTCAAATTTATTGCTAGAATCATTTTTATTTATTGTAAAATGGTTGAAAGAGTATGGTTTAATTAACTCTTTAGCATTAGTTGCACATTATGATTAACAACTCATGCCACAAAAAAAAATTAAAATTTTATTATATACCACATTTTGCTCAAAAAATTTTGCAAATTTTCCAATAGATAGTACAAAACTGCTTTATTATTTTGTAAAAAGCAAGAGATTTCTGAAACTAGTAAATCAAAAAGCATTATTTTTTGTTTATAATTAAAAAATTTAATTGGTTTTCTCTATACGTAACATTCAGTGCTTATTAATAAAATAATATTGAAATTTTTAGCATTTTTGATATTTTTACAATCTAAGTAAATTCTTAATATTTCCAATATTCTTATATAACATATTTCTGTATTTGGATTTAAAATCTTTGAAGCTAATTCAGGTATTTAAAATAAAATAAAATTGCAGGATTATTTATGATTTCTACTTACCCCTATATAAATTAAAATTTTATATAATTCTTTTTATGTCTTCCATGATGATAAAAACAAATGGATCCCAAACAATTTACAAAATGGACAAATTAAAATCCTTTCATTGCTATACATATCATCGATCCACATTCACAAAAATTGAATTACACTAGTATAAAAAGTTAAAAACAAATGTGTTCATTCTATTACAGAACCTCAAATTACAGAATGACAGCATAAAAGATATTTTGACACGAAACATTCCAATGACTTAAATCACCTTCGATGCAATCCAGAAGTCTAGAAATGGTAATCGAGAATTTAAAGTAATTAATACATCTTAAATAAAAAACCTCTACACAGGTCAAAATTTTATTTATTCTCATAAAAAAGTCAAATTATTATTCAAATGTATTTTTTAAATCTATTCAAATTTCCTAACTAATTTATTTCATTCTTAAGATAATTCATTCTCACTAATTCGTTCATTTTTCTTAATATAACTAATTGTTTATCTAAAGAAAAAAAATGAGTGGTGGTTTCTTTTGTTTAGTAAAGAAAATAAAGCATTACAGTAATAAATTAGTTTTGGTAGTGCTTATTTTTCTTTATACAGTAATAGTCAATCGTTGCTAACTTTACTAGTGAACATAATGATAACTCAGTTAATAAATTTCGCGTATCATTTGACCTCGCAGTGAAATGTGAGATGTTCTTATACGAGACGAAATTTTGAGTTAGCAGATTATTGGTTTTAGTGATAGCTTATTGTTTTTTTTTTATCACAATTAACAGTATTAAAAAAACAGTTGCATTTTATAAGTCATTAATTACTCGTACTTTCTTTATTAAAAATTTATATTGTGCGAAGGGTTATCAGCATTATGACCAAAATATGACTTTGATGATATAAATATATTACAAATTCATTTAAAATGCACTAATCTATTAACATTTATTTGATTTATATAATTTAATTCCGACTCAAGTTTAATTGCTCAAGTCATTAGTATTTTACATTTTTGGAAAAGGCTGAAGACAACCAAAGGAGTGCATTGTATAACAAGAAGAAGTAGTGCGAGAAGAAGTGCATTTATAAAGTGTATAATAGACAAACTTTCAACCTTGGAAAAGCTCAATAGAAGAAGGCCAGATATATACACAACAACAAAATGCCAAGTATGTCAAGACAAAGTAAAAAAGACACAGACACATTTGGTATCATGCAAGGGACAAACAAGTCTTTGGAAAAGAATTCAAAAGGTAGCGATTGCAACAGCATAGAAAGGACTTAAAGAAGAAGAAAAGACCTGAATCCCTCCATATGTGTTATATATAGCACTCTTCAGAAAAGGTGAGACAGAGGAGATAGAAATGAGAGAAGCATTGATTAAAGGCCTAATTCCAAAGAAAACACAAAACAGATTAATGCAGCTTCTAATACAAAGGCAAGACAACAATTTGCAAGTACAGTAGCGAAAATGGCTTGGGACACCTTTTATGAACAGGTTTGGAGAATGTGATGTGAAAAAGTCAATGAATAGGAGAAAAAAGAAGGAATAACAGGCAAAATGAAAAAAGAAAGAGAAAAAGAAATAACTCAGGCAAAAAGAAAAAGGAAGATCAGTAAAAGAAGGAAGAAGAAAAGAAATGAGTAAAAGAAAAGGAAAAATGAATTAAAGAGGAAGCCAGAAAGACAATGTTGGGGCTTGTCATGGAAGGGAGAAGACCTTCCATTATGGACTTTAAGTAGTCAGACAAGCAGCCTACTTCTGCTTAAAGTAGTATAGCAGGTTGCATTTAGGTACTATTAGGGTGGCCAGGTGATGCTAAACTTAGTTGTTAGGTATATCTATGTAATACCATTTTGTTAATTCGTAATTGGAAGAAATAATTTATTTGCAAATAAAACAAAAATTATTTATAATTTTGTCTAACAATTATAACCTCTGTCAAAAATTTAAATTTCTTGACCGGTTTACTTTAATAATATTATCCAGGCCTTTGTTAGGTGGTTATTCATAAGTTAATGATAATTAAAATAATAAATGATTTTATCAACAAATTGATCAGTAATAAATGATTTTATCAACAAATTGATCAGTAATAAATGATTTTGGCCGGTATTCTAAAAGATTGACAATATTTTTTGTGCCAGATTTTTCCAGTAAATGCCGCTTATTCTCTGAAGTACCATTGTATATCTTTTTTAATTGCTTTAACTTATAATTTTGATTTCTTTCGATCTTTGCTCTCTGTTTGTAAATATTAAAAAGTTGTTTTACATGATTTAAAGTGATTGAACAGTCGCAAATATATTCCATTATATCATCGTTGGGTTTGTGTTGTTTTCTTATACCATTATAAATGTGTGATATGGTTCGTATTCGATTAAATAACTTTCATTTTTATTAAGTAAACGAATATTTGCTTTGATGATAGCCTTTCTGATATCTTTCCTGTGTTCAATTGAAAATGATTCATATATTGAATTGATTATTTCAATTTTTTCAACATTATATTTTGACAAAAGATCGATTTCCTTATACAAATTTTTTAATTCTTCCATGAAAAAATCATCTCTTTTACAATTGCATGCATCATATTTTGGGAAAGGTTGATATATGTTAACTATAATAATAAAAAAAATTATGAAAATTATGAAAATTATAAAGGGTGTTTTCATATTGATATGGTTTCTTTGTTGTAAGTGGACTATCCGTGTATGTTCTGCTATTTTAACAATGATTTTTGCAATTCAAAAAATTTTAATTCTTCAACATAGAACAGAGCCCTATTTATAATCATTTGGAATTAATATATAATATATATAATACATTATTTTATAACCATTCAATCAAAAGACCATCTTTGTTTTAGTTAAATCATTGTGAAAATAATTTTCACTTAACCTCATTTGTGCAGAATTCTAAATTAATATATATATTATTAATTATATTGGAATTCTATTTGTGGAAGTTTTGTAAACACGGCATTACAAAATTCGTATAAATATCTTTCGAAATATATTACTAATACTGATTACGTTACGTAAGAATTTTTGTTATCAATTCAGGCCGCATACGCGTAAGAAACCTTTCATTCGAGATATAACTGACACTAACAATTAGAAATATATTTTTTAATAATTATAAACGCGTGTAGTTAAATATATACTCATTTTCTTGGTTTAATTTATTTTAATTATTTACTAATACAAATTACGTTAATGCGAAGATTTTAAATAAAAGGATAATTTAAAAGCTACATTAGCTATTCGCATAGTAGTGGTTTATATTGTGTCTTTAAAGTCTTAATTAATACTGTAGCAAATAATACAAATTATGTTAACGCGAAGATTTTAAAGAAAAAGACAATATATATAGTACTTTGTTAGGATTTTTGTTCCAAATTGTTCTGGTTTCATTTATAATTTTTTAGCCTATTTAATTTAAAGCTAGCTACATAAGCTATTCGCGTATAGTGTTTTATATCGCATCTTTGAAGTCTTAATTAATAGCAATGATCCTAAATAAACCAAATGACGGTTAAAAGAAAATCTTTGTGAAAAAAAAGCAGATTCCGAGAATCTTACTGCAACAAGTCTTTTGTCCAAATGGTTAGGTTCTGTACTCATATTAGGGATTCTTATGCGAAACTGCACGCGTAATGATCTGCTTACAAGAACAAGTCTGTACAAAAATTTTTGCTTTTCTGAGTGATAGATTAATTTAGAATTCTATACAAGAAGATTACTAAGATTAAAATGGATTCATTAAATTTTATTTATGAATTTAATAGGTTTGGTTTTACGCGTCTTTGAAGTCAAATTCATAAGGTTTTGTCCGAATGGTTAATTTTCGCATTACATAATCGGAATTCTTAAGTATATTTTCATGGCTATATTAATGAAACAAAGAAAATAAGATTGATATGAAAATGCATCATTTTCTCAATGTTACTATAATATTCTTTGCAGAAATAAAAACTGTACTGTAATCACCATTTTATTTTGGAAAAAAAGTATAAAAGTGCTATAATGCCCAGATTTTGATTTAAAAATTGTATATTCAAGCGATTGCAATTAAGTATATTTTATTAATAATTCCTTCATAAATCATGACAAAAATACGATCAAAGAAGATTACACGACGCATATTCTATGAACAAACTGTCATTGGCCTGAATATATGAAATTCAGTTCAGAAAAGAATACGGTTGAAGTTTAGCAATTCATCCTCATTTACAACATTAAATTTATATGAATACACCCTTGACTTTGAATGCATTTTGGCGGCATACACGTGCCTCAATGGAAATTTTAAACTTTATAATGTAACTTGTGATCCACAAAATAAAATTGTATCATCCAAAAAATTTAAAGCTTTGCTTGATTCTAAGACAAATATTAGAATTATTTATGATAGGTATAAAAAAATTTCTGGTAGCGTGATAGTTTATAATATTTCAACCTGTAGTTTTAGTTATAAATTAGATCAATTTAGAATAAAATTATTAAATAACTAGTATTTAATTTAGCAACATCAATCTTATCAAAGTCAAAAATGCTAACAAAGTCAACTTTAGTTTATACCATGTTGTATTTTTACATATTCCTATCTGATATTTAAATTAATTTATATACTTGGAAGTTAATAAAGTTAACTGATTAATTAGTAAAGAAACTATCTTATTTACTTTTAAAAGACCATATTAATTTATTTTAATAACTATGATAGTAAGATCCCATGTTTAGCAATCATATGATATAGCACCCAAAACTAATTGAAAAGCTTTTCGCGAAATTCTCGAAAAAGGACAATTTGAAAAGAATATACTTCAAATCTTTACACTGATAAAATTAAGTTGTTACATGATTTACAAATATAAAATTAGTAATCTAAGTCCCTAAGTTGCAAAAGATTACTGAATACCCAAAAAAACTTTGTATAGATGGACCGCTCAACTTACTGAAACAGGTGATATCAAGCTTGATGAACATACTGGACGTCCACAACTTCTTGGCCCTGAACAAAGAAAGCACCTTGACAAAATCGTAAAGAAGACAGAACTGCGACAAGTAAGGAACTAACAGAAGTCCTTAACAACACTTACCCAGACTAAATATTGTATCAAGAACAGTTCGCGAGAACCTTAGGACCTTGCTTACCAAGTTACTGTTCCCCGTGCTGTTCTTTTTCTCAAAAAAGAGGCCATGATCCGTCGGGTCCGCTGGGTGTGTAAGTATCAAAGAAGAAGGTGGAATACTACCACTGATAAAGCAACCTTTCAACTGTTCCGAAATATGATCAAGGTTTGGTACAAGTCTGGTTAAACAGTACCAACACGAGTTATGAAGAAAAGGGTCAAAAAAAAGGTGAATTCTTTGTCCAAGCAAAAGAAACGATGTTTTGTATCAATTATCGAAGAGAAATGGCATCGAATTGACAACCATTATTTAATTTAGCAACCTCTATGCGTGGGCGTCTGAATTTAGTTATAAAGCAGTGTAGCATACAATTAATCACTAGATAGTCATATATGTTTTAAACTAGCTGTAGTTAAAATTTTATCAAATTTTAGTAAAATTTTGATGTGCTGCGCCACATTACATGAGTGTCATAATTTTTTACTGTATTATATTCAAGATAATATTTATACATATTATGATACACGTCGCATTTTTTGTAACACATTGATATTAAAAATTTTCTTTCAAGAATTTATAGAAAATCCACTTTTCAATTTACCATGTTAAGAGCGCCACACACACCTCAGATGCAATTCGCATCCTGAGATAGTCTAAAAAAAAAAAAATTACCGTGTTATTCTTGTGTTCATTAGTAATTTTGTAAGAAACAAAAACAAAATTTTTTGTCTACATAAGGAAATGTATGATTTCATGGACCCATGGTCCATGAATAATTAAACAAATTACGCACTACTTTGAACTTGCGATTTTAAACTTTTGCATTAACCATATTAGCAGTTTTTGATAATAAGTGAATGCCTAATGTTTATCCTTTTTAATTCAATCTCACTAGGATAACCATATATAATTTTAGTAGAATAAATTCGTAACTTTGGTAAATATAATTTTGGTAGAATTAATTCATAATACTAGTAAACATAATTTTGGTAGAATTAGTTCGTAACTTCGGTAAACAATTTGGCAGAATTAATTCGTAATTCTAGTAAGTAAAATAAAATTAATTCGAAATTTGATAACATAATTTAGTAGAATTAATTCCTAATTCTGGAAAACATTGGTAGAATTCTGGTAAACAATTTTGGCAAAATAAATTCGTAATCCTAGTAAAAATAATTAGGGGGAATTAATTCGAAATTCTAGTAAAAATAATTAGAGTAGTATTATCAACTCAAAAAAAATTCGTAACTATGGTAGGTTTTCATTAAGACTCAATATAACTCTGTTAAAAAATTTAAATTTCTTGTCCGGTTTAATAATATTATCTTTATTCATAAGTTAAAGAAAAATCATTTATGAAGGAAAAATAGATTCCGAGAATCTTGCTACAAAAAGTCGTTTGTTCGAATAGTTAATTTCTTGAAATTCTTATGCGAGATTGCGCGCGTGAAGATTTTGCTTAATAATATCTATATATAGATTTCTAAATAAATAACTTTGCAGTAATCTTAAACAAGAACAAGACTGAACAAAAATTTTTCGTTTTTCTGAGTAGTAGATCAATTTAGAATTCTATACAAAAGGATTTCTAAGGTTAAAATGGAGTCATTACCATTTGATGATGAACTTAAAAGGGTTGGTTTTACGCGTCTTTGATGCTAAATTTTGAAGGATATTCATCCGAATGGTTAATTTTTCGCACCAATCGGAATTCTTAATATTTTGTGTTCAAGGGATAGATATAATTCTACATGGTGATTTTCTTCAAGTAGAAATTTGATTTGTACTATTAAGTATTTGAGAAATTCATCAAGGGTGAATTTTTTGTCTTCATGGACTATAATCAAAGTATTCAAAAAAAATTAAAGCCAGAAGCAAAAGAGAAATAATATAATGGTTGTCATATAGGCAATTCTTAGCAATAAAGCTAAGAACCTGTTTTTAATTGACATTCTGTTATTTTTCAAAAACTTGATGTTACTCTTTTTATAACATTTTTTCATAAATGGATTTTATGCTATTCGCCGCAGTTACCATTTTTCAAACCATTAAAAAGAAGCTCCATGTTTGTATATGCTGTACAATATAAATATAAAATTTTGATTATACGCGTATAAAATATTATACAAAGTTTAATGTTCTAACTCTTTGCAAAAGCCTTAGTTCGTGATAGATTTTCATGAACTTGTTTGTTTAAATAAGGAAATCGGAGTTAATCTTTTTACAAAGCACAAAATGAAATTTATGAACATTTTATAAATCTAGAGCTGATCTGTACGTAATTATATGCGAAGAAAGGGGCCGCTCACTATTTCAAAAATTCAAAGCATAATTTTTTGTCATGATCCATTGAAGATCTCTTGTTAATATGAATTACGTTAAAAAACGATTTTTCTTTTTTATGATTAACCTTTCGAATAAAGTCCAAATTAACAAGTAGTTATTCAATTATTCAAACATATATCTTGTTTGATTATCAATATGGTTAACATATCTTTAATATAATATCACACACCATCTTATTTACTTCTAAAAGACCTATATAAATTTAAATTTAATTTTAATAACACCGATAGGAAGAAACCAATGATAATAGGAAAATAATTACACTGATAGAAGAAACCCATGTTTTCTAATGATGATAGGAATTATTATTTTTTTTGCAAGATTTGGGTTTCCAAAAAATTACTACATAGACTTTTCGCGTCGGAAAAATACAATTTTGACTTGAGCATTTTGAGTGGTTAAGTTTGCATGTATATAAAAAGTTATTTTCACACTGCTGAAACAAAGAGAGTATTACTCAATTCGGATTATATTCAAATTTAACTGGATGTGTAAAATAGAATCTGAATTTAATCTAATGGCCTCTAAAAAGTAGGATCGAAGCTCTAATATATACTAATAAGCAAAAATTTTTGTACGCGTCACTAATTATTTTAATATTAATAATTTTAAGCATAAATGATTTGCGAGAATAACTTTAAATTAGGTAAAAATATTAAACAAAGAAGGTATTACATTTACACCAAATTATCTTGGTTAAACTTGCGAAGAATTCAGTTACGTAATTTGTGAAAAGAGTCTTACCAATTAATATTATTTGAATGCAATGTGTCTAACTACTTTTGAGAGTAGCGGATTATTTTTTATTAAGTCAAGTTGTTGAACTACTTCTGAGAGTAGTGGATTATTTTTTTTTAAGTCACGATTGAGTGCCATTAATGGATTTGTAGAGTCTGAAATGCATCTTTTTATATTTTTTACTAAGAATTCATTTGTTTTTATATGTATATTTGGTCTTTTGTCCGAATGGTTAATCCAGAGGTTAACTATTTGTAGTTCACTTCTTTAATCTACAGAGATAGCTTTGGAATATGAAAATTCGATTTATACATCCTTAATGTATTATCTCGGTTTTAGCTTTGAATAGTAATTAAATATATAACTAATATATATATACTGATCTGCATTAACATTCATATATTTGTGAGTTAAATTCTTGAATTTTAAAAGAATATATATTAATACAAGTTAAATAATGACTCATTTCATTGGTTTAATTTTTATTTACTCTTAGAAATCTTCAAGTTTGAGATTACGCGTAAAGTTACTTTTTGTGAATCATTCGGAAAAGACACTGATAAGCATGAACAAAGAAAATTTTACTCACGCGATAACGTAATCTTTATTGGTAATGAATTTTAAATAAATGTTTGGTTGCTTCTTACATGTTTTCGGTCTTTTGTCCGAATGGCTAATTTTGGTATGTATTAAACAAAATAAAGCCCTTAGTTTAATTTAAATTATAAAAATAGCATTCGGTCCATTTATAGCAGCTCAAACTTTTGCGTAATTAGTAAGTACGCGTAAAGTTTGAGTAATTTACAATAAGTTATGGTTTAATTAAGATAAGCATGAACAAAGAAAATTTTACTCATGCGAATCTTTATTAGAAATGAATTTTAAATAAATGTTCGGTTACTTCTTACATGTTTTTCGGTCTTTTGTCCGAATGGTATTAAACAAAGTAAAGAGAGTGCAAATTGCAATTCCCTAAATATATTAGTAAAATCTTGTGAATAAAAGCAACTCAAACTTTTGTGTAATTAGTACGTACGCGTAGAATTTGTATAATTTAAGTAATTTATAGTTTAATTAAGATAAGCATGAACGAAGAAAATTTTATCACGCGATAACGTAATCTTTATTAGTAATGAATTTTAAATAAATGTTTGGTTGCTTCTTACATGTTTTCGGTCTTTTGTCCGAGTGGTTAATTTTTGTACTATTAATAATGAATTTTGTAAATAAATGCGAATGGTATGTAATTTAAATTAATATCATTTTTTCATATTATAAAATAGTATTCGGTACATTTATAGACCATCTCTTTATAAAAAATTCGGTAATAAAAGCAACTCAAACTTTTGCGTAATTAGTTAGTACGTGTAGAGTTTGATTAATACAATAAGCTATGGTTTAATTGATAAAAATAGCTCCATTCAAGACACGTGATTTCATGCAATTTCATCTATTTTGTTTAAATTAAAGGATGATTTGTAAATATTTTAAATTAGGTAAGGATATAAACAAAGAATGCAGTTTTAGTAGGCAGTACCAGTTAGATTCAAATTGGAATTCTATACACGAAGGTTTACTATGATTAATTGAAAAGCATAATATGTTCTTTTGTCCGAATGTTATTTTACAGCTTGTAGATTAATAAAATAATAATAATTTCAAATTATATAAATATGGGCTCTATTCAATGTGGAAAAATTTAAAAACATTTCTATTAGTACAAATTATTATTCTTTAAAATGATCCCTTTACCAATCGATTGTCTTGTCAAAATATTTGAATGCCTTGAGATTAAAAGTTTTGGATTATTTCTTCGGCCTGATTATAAAAGCTTATTTTCATGTCTCCTTGTTAATCGTCAATGGTGTAAAATTATTGTGCCAATATTATGGCGTCAACCTAAGTTCAAAAATGCGGGATTTATCAAAACATGTCTTTTAGGATTAAATGCTGAAGAACAAAGATTACTAATTCCATTAAAAATCAAATTTCCAAATATTGAAAAACAACCGTTATTTGAATATTCAAGTTTTATGAAAGAAATTCATTTCGGTTATAAATTAACTAATGGTGTAGAAAGTTGGCTTAATCAAGAAGAAGGG